GGGGGGGGGGGGGGGGAGTTGTGATGTCAGTGTCTCTTCATGATTTTTTTTAATCGTTGATCTAATCAATTTTGACATTGTAACTGTTCATCAGGGCGTGTCATTGTTTGCAGGAAACAGGATATTTTCAGAGGTGAAACAAGTAGACCAGTCTTGCTTGCAATGTGGAATGGTTTAACCCAATTGTTGTTTAAATTTGTTTTGACTTGCTATAAGGAAGAATACGTAATATGGAGGTGACGTATCGAACGTGGTTGAAGAAGGAGTTCGTGGAGACGGCCCTGAGGTCAGCGGGTGACCACACACAGCCTGAAGGTAGTGTCATGTGACATCAGACCTGCAACTTCAGCTGGTGATAATTACACGAGTGACATGTTCAGAATCACTGTAGAGGTGACAAAAGGAGGTGCGATAGAGGTGACATCACTGGTCGTTAAGGCTACTAAAGATACATCGTTCTTCAACGAGGTATTGGCGATAAAATTTTATATAATTTGAAGGTCGCGAACTGAAGAATGCGTTGGTAGTTGGCAGGATACTCTTGTCAAGGTTTTAAAACCAAAATATTGCACGATTTATTGTTTTTCGATGTATGCCACGTGTTAATCTTTCTTGGTTATGTTATCCTAACAGTATTAGGTCAAAGTTTATGGATCGATCGTATTTAAAATTCGCTCAGAGCAGTGTGACCTTTTTTTCCAAGTCTCTCGCAGTTTTTTTTAATTTAAGATAAATATGTAGGCGTTCTTTGGAATTAATCACTGCGAGGAAGAAATTCCTTGCCACTGAGAAGAATCATTGTTGTATACACGCACAATATCTAAACAAAAGAGCGAACAATGCAAAAAAATGTATTTGAATGAAACGAGAATATAGATGTGGGTCTATAAAGTTAAAATCTCGTTGTTGCGCGAAGCCAAATTGTTCCATTGTTGAAACCGTAATGACGTGACAATTAATGAACTGAAGTTTTATGAAATCAACAATGACTCGAAATGAAAACTGTCTGGATAGTAGCAGATAGCGTCAAACTCACTTGTACGGAGAAATGCAGCTGTTTTCGAGTTCATGCCAGCTCCGCTGTTTAAGGTCCACGTCATTGGTTTCTCTTTCCGCGGCCTTCCACAGATTAGCCACAGAATTTTGCTGCAGTTATAAACGATACAAATCACAAAATGATCTGGTTTCCTTAATCCATTCATGTGATATCGTGTTATGTGTTCACAGTTGGTACGAGGAGGTTTATTTGACAGAGAAATTGAAGTGTTCACCAAAATTTTACCGTCAGTACATCGTCTGTTGAATGACGCGTCACCTGGCAAGTACCAACCCTTCGCAGCTAATTTCTTTTACGCTCTCAGTGGCCTTCCATCTTGTCTCGTGATGGAAGATCTCAAAGCAAGAGGATTCGAGATGGCGGAAAGAACGGTCGGTCTGGATTTGAACCACTGCCTGCTAGTCATGAGACAGATCGGATGATTTCACGCGGTGACCGTCGTAATACACGAAAAGGGGTGAGATCAATTCCAGTGCTTCCAGGAATGTGTGTTCAGTAGCGTCGATGTGGAAACTTCAGGACGCATCTTCGACGCTACGGCCAAAAGCGTGGCTGAGGAAGTTGGAAGTTGGCCTCGGTATAAAGAGAGGTTTTACGAGAAACTCCTGAAATCATCAGAAGACGCCTACTTATCGTACGTCGATTCGGTGAAAAGAGACGACGAAGAATTCAACGTTCTTTGCCACGGAGATCTCTGGTTGAACAACATGATGTTCGGATGACACCGGGGAGGTCGCTGATGTCAGGTAAGAATTCTTCGCCTGTTATTTCGGAAACTCGCGGCTAGTAACAAGAAAGTTGAATTCAGAGTTTCAGAAATGCGGTTACCGTCGTCTGTTGGTCATCGTCTGAGTGTGTTAGAAATTTAATAAATAATCAATATTGAACAGATTTTTATTTTATTTAATATGAAGTTTTCATCGCGGCGAGGTGTTTTTATTGGTGATAATGATCGTCTCGCCCCAAATTAACTTATTCCCACGTACTGAAAAAACTTCTCTCCGAACTTTGAGAGAGAGAGAGAGAGAGAGAGAGAATGAATTAAAAATTTGGAAGGGAATTAATGAATAACTGAAGAGGTAAGTGAATGATCTGATTAATAGTTTATCATTTTGTGTTACGTGCCGTGGATTGTGGAGACGCCTTCTTCTTCTTCTTCTTCTTTTCATATCGTGGTGCTGGTTGTAGGTTTGTGGATTATCAGGCTAGCCACTGGACTTCGCCCGCGCTCGATCTTCTGGACGAACATCACGTTCTCGTGGAAGAATATCACAAGTCCCTCACGCGGACGTCTTCAGAGCTTGGAGCCTTCTCTTGATCGACTGAAGCAGTGCTCATTAGTTGCTCGATTCTTCCCATATTCCTGATGGACGCCTGACGTCTCGAAACTCGTAAATCAGGAGGACGAGGTTTATCTTAGCGAGTCGTACAAGAGGGCTATAAAGAAACTTTTGCCTGTCTTCGAGGAGAAAGGGTGGATTTAGTGCCCTAAAATGCCCATTTTCTTGTAATTTTTTAAACTACGTAGAAAATAATTTTGAATAAAAATTTTCTTGGATATTATCCATCGTCTAGTAAATATAAAACGTAAAAACGACGTTTCGGAGATGGGATTCTATCTCCGGAGATAGGGATTAGCTCTATCTAGTGGGCCCAACTGTGTAAGAACCTGAAGACGGAGATAGAGTCCCATCTCCGAAACGTCGTTTTTACGTTTTATATTTACTAGACGATGGATAATATCCAAGGAAATTTTTATTCAATTGACTCTTCACCATCGTCAAGAAGTTTTAGATTTGATATACGTAGAAGTTCTTTAGAGTAAATTTTAATTTAAAGCTTTAACTCTTGATTGAAGAGCATTTATGATTTAAAATTAATATTTATGAATTACTGATTAATAAATTATAAAGTTTTATAACGTGTGCGATCAACGATACTTGTTAAAGACGTCAATTCCTTTTGACAAATGTATTTATTCCCTTATGTTTTTACAATTTAAGCAGTCTTTCAGGGCGATCATCCTGATGATGGAGGCAGAATGCATCTCTGAAACGTAGGTAAGATTCTAGCAGACTACATGGCTCAACGACCCAGAAGAGACCATCTTCATTGCCTTAATTTAATCCGGTCATAATTTCATTAGAGTCTGGAAATTTGCTACCAGGAGCCTGTTAGAGTAATATTTATTTAACAGTAATGATGTTAATAGTCAGACATTTTTATAATAGTACATTCAGTATCCTCAGGGTTGAGAGTATAGAAAGGGCTGACTTCCTGGAATATCAGTTAATGCGTTGGAAAAATGCATTAGCATTTATTAAACGCTAACATAAACACCGAGGCTATTAATCTCGTTATTCTTCGACGATATATAGCCTGATTTAATGAAAGCGTCGTTAAATCGTAAATTAATAAATAAATAAATAAACAGGAATCAGACGTGGTATTAGGTTTTTATTTTTTATAAATTTCCATTTATGTTTCGTGTGTTAAAAGTTTTTAAGCATTAAGTAAGTAGAATGTAATGTGATTTTGTGTATTTTAAACAGCCGAAATTGCAGTCTCCTCTCACAGAAAGTGCGTTGTAACAGTCGGGAGTTCTGGTTCGATTCCCGCTCGAGGCATGGCTGTGCCCGACTTTTTTTCTGTGTAGGCTGAGTCGTTGTATTGGCCTGAGTCAAGGACTTTTGTCAGACGTCTAACAAACAGTCTGTCGTATTGGGTTTAAAAACCTGTAAATTCACACAACAGTTCAATGCCCCTTCCTTGCTTACTCCGTGGAGCCGACAGTCGCTTAGCCAATCAAGAAATTCCCAACATTTTATGAATCCAGTTCCATGCCACCCCATACTATTTCTATAAGATCTGTATTAATATTATACTCACACCTACGTCTATGTCTTCCTAGTTGTCTCTTTCCTTCTGGTTCCCCCTCTCAAAACCCTGTATGCATTTCCCCTCTCTTCCATGCGGGCTACATGCCCTGCCCATCGCACCCTCCTTGACTTGGTCAGTCTAATTACATCTGACGAGGAGTACAACTTACGAAGTTCCTAGTTATTCATCCCTCTTGGGTCCAGATATTCTCCTCAGCACCCTTGTTATCGAATATCCTTAGGTTACGTATCTCCCTTAGTGTCAGAGACCAAGTTTCATATCCATACAAAACTACAGGCAGAACTATACTTCTGTAGTGTTTTAATCTTTACGTATTTTGACAGCAGATGAAAATACCAAAAAAAAAAAATGGTTCTGAACCGAATAGTAGCAAGCATTGCCCTAATTGAATTTACTCTTAATTTCATCATAAACGAGATTTTGATTCTCAAATATCAGAAATTTGTCACATTTTTAAAGGGTTCATTAACTATCTTTATGTAACGATTTAGGCCTGCATTCATTGCAAGTGTCAAGATTACAGTCGTTGACTGTATTTAGTTTTGTTTTTCTGTATTTACTTTAAGACCAACTTCTTTTAAAAGAAGAAATTATAATCGTTTATTTTTTTAAGTTTGTAACACTTGTTCCCGTAATGCTTTTTGAACGCACCCAAAACAGTAGACGATCGCTG